AAGCTGTGTGCTTGGTGCTCCAAGTTACACACTCAGAGGTGCAATAGTCAAATGATAGTAAAAAAAAGATTTTAACACTGATCTTGTAAGGGGAAAAAACTGCATGTGTGAAAACACCCCAGATCCAGATGTGGAAACAGTGATGCAGAATAGGAAAGAATACAGACTTGCAGACAGATGGACATCCTGTAGCCCTGAGCATATTACATCTGTGGACCACTTCAGAACACTGAATTCCTGAAGAAGGTGAATTATCTCACCTCTGGTACGGTTCCTTGCCTGGAAGTGCCCCTCTCTCACACTGACACCCTGTGGAATTGCAGGGCTGCTACCCCAGGGTGTCCTACCACAGCCTGTGGTTCAGTGCAGTGAATCCCTTTCCTGGTGTGAGATCCAGCCCATGCTGAGGCCACATGCTCCAGCTGGGCTTAGGGTCTCTGAGTATCTCTGGTTCCAAGGGCATGGGTGGTGGAAGCACTGCAGCTTGCACAGAGCAGTGGCAATGCAGCTGAAAGCTCTGACAGCCGTTTCTTCCCTCCATCACTCCATGTCCCTAAGTACACACTGATGCTTTGCTTTCATTGCCAGACCCCTTCCAACTTGTCCTCTGTAATCTGTTTGGGACAGAGGTATTGTCCTTGTAACTGTAGGGCACATCTGCTCACCGAGGATGCTGTGACAGCACGCTCATCGTATGTGACTTAACACTCTGGAGTCCTGATTGTGACACTGGCCCTTGGGAGCTGCCATGTGACAAACTGCACACAAACAAGGAGAGATGTTCCCAGCTAGCAGGGAAGATGGGAAATTTCTCATTAGGGTTGTGATGCCAAACCAAAGCTAAGCAGCACAGCTGGGGTATTAAGGATTGCCAGGAAGAGTTACTTGGGAACAGTCTGCAGAGCAAAACTAATTTGCAAAGTATATTTGGCAAATAGGGATAACCACACCTTTGAGAAAATGAGGTTGTCTGTACACAAGAATATGACCAACAAAAGAGGAATGATTTATCAGATATATTATTCACTCTGAATTGTTCACTGATCTCTAGCCAAGGGGCAGATACCACAGAGGTTTACTAGTCAGTATATCAGTGCTGTGACTGGCACCCAGTACTGAGGGATCATACAGTCTGTGGAGAGCAAGTGGGAGATAATGGGATATATAAATTCTAGTCTCAGAGACTGTGAAACAAATGCTGTTGGATTGCAGGGCTTTTTTGCTGTCTGACTGATGGCAAAACTCAGGGAGGTGACAAAAGTTGAAACCAAATCTACTTGGGAACTTGTCCCCAGCTGCTCAAGATGTAGATTGCTGGTAAACCCACAGATATCTTTTGGGTAATTTACCCATCAGATTCCCTGGACCTGAAGAATCTCTGCTGAACTTATAGAGCAGAGGTGTTTAACTTGTGATTTCCCAGACTAAAGTGTCTGTGAATGGTAACTAGGAAAATGAAGGCTCTTGTCATTAAGTTTGAAGTCACTAGAAAGATATCTACATCTCAGCAGAGACGCTTGAAATGGTACAGATTAGAAAAGGCTGAAAATCACCCTCTGCAGCATTTATTAACAGAATCTTCGACTTTGTTCTTGTCCTTTCAAGTATTTCCTTATTGCTTAGAGGCAAGAAACAAAGTGCCTTTGAACCCAAATTGTTATCTATAAAAGGGATAGGATAGTCTTACTTCCCAGGAGGGCTGACTGAATAAATGCTCTAAAGATTGTTTTTACCTCAATAATGTAGGGATAGAAAAGCAAAATCTAAACCAGGCAGTTATCTAATACAGATACTCTGTCTCCTTGATGGTAAAAAAAAGTTGCAGACCAGAGCTAAACCCTGCATTTTACTTATCTAATGGAATCATGATAGACCAACCCATCTCCTAGGGACCTGGAAATGCAGAAGTTTGGGTGTGGAGAGTATGGAATGGGGAGAGATTTGTAATTAAAAGTCCTCACTTACTCTTTTTACTTCCATATGACTTGAAGATTGAAATAAAAAATAAAAACACTGTGATCAGATCCATTGATTATCACTCCCTAGAAGGGAAGATGGCCCCAGGACCCAATTCTACCTTACTTATATGCTATGATTCCATTTGGGTATAAAACTATTTTTAAATTTCAAACCCTTTTTTTAAGGAAATGGCTTTTTAGATCTGTTCCCCAGCAGTCTTAGGAAACAAAAAGATATCCCGCTTGTACTGGCTCTCACCAAAGTCTGAAATTAGTTTTTAAACAAATGGCTGGAAAAAAAATCAGGCATTTTTTTGATAATTCGCCTGCAAAGAACATGTCTCTGCTTTTCAGTTTTTGGTAGCAAAGAGAATATTGTCAGGTGTGATCATGTTGTGGCAGAATGTCTTGCTTTAGCTATTGATTCCCTGTGGTTTGTTTTGTAAGGGAGAGGAAGAGGCTATGATATGGATGAGTGCTGTATGTACTCAGAACGTTGCATTCCTTGGTTGAAGGGGACGCTTGTAATGAGGATATGGATGTGTTTATTCCAAAAAACCCTATTCATAGTCTAGCTTGTTAATTAGGACAAACAATTGCTGACTGTCATAAACATTCACAGGAGAGGGCTGTGTTGGAAGATGGCCAAGGTGATAGGATTGTGTTTTGAGCCGATGGAAATATCTACACCTTTTATTTGAAACCTTGAGAGCTTCTGCACCTACTCGGGCAGTTTAACTGGGCTCTGCATGGGTGCAGTGCTGTCCTGGAGGCTTTCAGGAAGGCTGGTAAGACTGGCTGCTTCCAAAATTCACTGTAGCTCCTCCTGGAGGAGACCAAGAATGTTCAGCTTTAGAAAGGCAAGGGTCAGAGCTCTGTGGTCTGTGCCAACTCCTGACCTCTGCTCCAATCTGAAGCTGACAGACAGAGCTCCCAGCTCTGTGCCTCTTCAGAGCTCTCTTTATAGTCTAAATTATCCCAGATACAATTCCCAGAACCAAAATTGCTTCCACACTCATACATTTGTCTAAAATTTGATACAGTTCAGTGAGCTTTTTTCTTTTTTTTTTTTTTTTTCACGTTCAATCCCAGAACCAAATGAAAAGGGTTATGAAGAGTTTGAAGTATTTCAGTAATTTGAAAATAGTCTCCCTAATGGTGAGTGGTTTAAATTTTCCTGGAGCATTTTTGTACTTCTATTTTTGTAAGAACTGTGTTCTGGAAACTAGTCAAGTAGTACGTGAACATAAGAATCCAAGACATATTGAAACCATTCAAAAGCCTGTGTTCTATAAATGTAGGGTTTAAAAGAATGTGTAAAATGGGAGTGGTTGTAAGAACTGTTTTAAGAGATTTAAATTTTTAAAAAAATAACAAACACGAACCAAAAACTTGAACCCCTGTATGACTGGCAGAAAGAAAATAGTACATTAGTAAACATTTCAAAATAATAGGATAATCCTAAGAAAAAGAAACTGCGCTTGCAAAATAATTTTAAAAGCTCTCAGTAGTGTATTACAAATATCGAATAAGTAAACCTTGCAATGTCCCAGAAGAGTTATTAGATGCACAAGCATGGCTCCTGCAGTGTCTGTACTCAGGGAAGAACTGCTCAGAGAAATTTGGGGCAGCGAGTGCCACGTGGGTCACACGAGGGGTGATCTCTGTCTGTGTCTGTGTCAGGGTCTGCAGGGGAAACCCAGACATGTCCATGGCTCCCAGAGCTATAATGCAGAGCAGAGACAATTCATTTATATGAAGATGGCTCCAAGACCACAGCTGAAACAAAGCTGCCTCTGCATCTCTTCAGCCCAACACAATTGAAGCAGATTTCAAAAGCAAAACCCAGCTTGCTGTAGCTTTGGATCTCATTAATTTGTGGGGTATTCAGCCTGTGGGTGAGCTGGGGTACAGCGTGTGTGTCCCCCAGAATCCTTCCAGCTGCCCCTTCTCCAGGATTTTGGGAAGAGGTGGTAGGCTGCAGTACTCTGACTTCCCTCCTTGCTGAATGGTTTTGTGCTTGGACAAGAGAGCAGGAGAGGAGTGATGCTGACTTGAGACAAGTGTGTGCCGTGTCAGGTGTTCTCCTTTCCCTCTCCCAAAGGTGCAGATATCCCCTGTATGTGACTGAGCCTCAGACAAACCAGTGCAAACCAGTGCCAGAGCTGGGCAGGGGCTGAGGCATCATCCCTCTACATGTGTGCCTACCCAGACACTGCCAAGCCGTGTTCTGGGGGTCATGGAGGGAGATTCAGAGGAGGTAGGAAGAGTTGTGTTGTGGGAGAAGTTCAGCTACAGGTTTCTGCAGGTAATCTGTCTTACATTTTCCTGTTCCTAAAATGTGTTTTTTGTAACCTGTGGATATACTACAGGAGCTTCTCCTGAGTTAGTTCTGTTTAGCAGCCTGAAATACGCTTCTTTGTTACCTCTACCAAGAAGCTGTTAGTGCATCTGGACAAATAAAACTTGGTTTTGCTCAGCATCTCATTATCTGTGCCAGAATTTCTTATGCATAGTTATTGCCCTCATTTAGTAATATGTATAGAGATGCCAGGTGATTTCTACAGTGTGAATGCGCTTTCCACAGTATGAATTAAGACACTGACTCAAGTCATTAAATGGAAAGCAGTTTTGAACAGCTGGATGCGTTTGAAAATAACTGTGAGAAAAACAATTTTGTACAAATGTCTGAGAGGATGTCACTGGTGATTAAGGGAAGACATTCCATGACAGTGGGTCCCAGAGACCGAGCCTGGGATAGGGGCTGTTGCACTGCTGTACAGGTGTGTGTGAATGATGGCTTTGCACAGCTCTACAGCTCAGGTCTTTTCCAGGAACCACTGTGCCTCCTTTGTCCTTTTTGTACTGATCAGGGTCCAGAAGTATTGCACAATTTCACGTCCAGAAGCATTGCTCAATCTTTTAGTTCCAGTGATGCAACAGAAATGGGCTGAATGCTGTTGAACTTTCATCCACTAATCATTAGTCCCAGCTTTAGAAGAATTTGCAAAGGAGTTACAGATCTTGCCATATCTCAAATAGACAACAGTTGTTCTTCCTCCCAAGCAGACAGTAAGTCAGAAATCATACTTTTACCTTGCAGGTATAAATCATGCTGTTAGTGCTTGGGAAGGGTTCCAGAACAAAAGTCTGGTGCTGTAGCTGATTGCTTCAGCCAGCATCTGGCTGCCCTGCATAGAGGGAGGACAGGAGGGCTCAAAAGGCAGCCCAAAATCATATCAGATATTGAAGGTTGTATCTACTATGAAATCCACCTGGGCATTGAGTCCATGCTAAATGTAATCATCTTTGTGGTACTAGATACAGGAATTGCTTGGTCAAAATCAGTCAGTGATGTTTTATGCCTTTACTTAGAGTAGCAAAGTGTTTCTCTTCCTTTGCAAGCTGGTGATCTTAATATTGAAATAACTTTTTTTGTGGTTTCCTGTGTTGACTGCTTACATGGACTGACTGTGTGTGGGTTGGGGGGGGTTGTTACTGTGAGGTTTTGGCAGAAATTCCTTGTGCTCAGACAGCAGCAGCATGAGGGCAGAGTGTGAGGGGGGTTTTCTTCCTGTTGGAGGACTGTAGGTTTTCCACTGCTTAACCATGTTAGATTGCCCTCAACTTTTTGTAAAAAATAGGACTAGTATAACATCATGTTCTCTGTTGGCTACTCCATGACTGGAGTACTGAAGCCAATTTTAAATATGATATGGATGTTTCCAGGAATAGAAACCTCTCCTAGGAAATTAATGCCACTTCTTGTCAGGGTCTATCCAGCAAATGCACTGTGAGTTTTTGTTTCACAATGGCATAACTTGGAATCACCACAGCTCATCCTTGAGTATTCAGAAACTGCCTAGAAATGTATATATGTATGTAACAAGGGGAGTTTTAGGGGACAGTCCCTCTACAACTGCCAGGTATAGTGAGAAATGTTAATGTGAAATTGAGTTGGTTTTCAGCTGTAATGAGATTTCTGCTCCTTTCCAAGAACTGGGTTATTGTAGTTCAGAAATGTCAGTTCTGAACCAGTTATAGTTGGAGAAGGATGAAGCTATCTAGCAATTCACTGAGAATAACATTACTCCATTAGCTGGCTTCTTCTTTAGGAGTCTTGTGATGTAAGTCAATGATTTTGGCTTTAATTATATATCCTGTCACTTTTTATATTTGAGAGAGGGAGGGAATAGCTGCCCCATGCTACACCACCCTGGCTAAATCCAGTACATCCGGTTTTATTTTTTTAAAACTTTTCAAGGTGAGGTCACTCTTTTTAAAGCTACTCTCAAGTTCTGAGAGCTCCAGCCTTAGGTTCTGTCCTGTCTGACAGGTCTCACTTAGAGAGGAACTCCCTCTTTCATGCAAATGCAGCTCTGCTGGTCTGCACAGGGAGACCTGATCCCATCCTCTGCTCCAGCTGTCCCCATGGTGGTGCAGTAGCTGCTCTCCAGGTGCAGTTCTTTCATTCTGTTCTGGCACCTGTTGAGTATAAAGCCTGCTGACAGCTGGGAAGCAACAATTCAGCCTGTTGTGAATGCTGACATTTTATTTCCTCTGGTCTAATGTTGAAGAAAACTCACTGGGAGCTGCAGGGAAGGTCCTCTGATATTGCATGAATCCTTTTATGTGGTGAAAAGGAACACTGGCAGCATGGTGGGGAGCTTTCTGCTTGTGAGCAGAAGGATGACTCCCCTTGTAAAGACTGAGCTGCTGAGAGCTGTGGTGGTTGCAAGGCACCATTGGTCCAGCCTCACCAGGGGCCATGCACTGCCTCTCACTCTGAGCACTTTCTTCCACGTGAATCATTTCATGGAAACTGAGGGGCTCTGTGGAGCTGAATTCTGCACAACAAACTTGGGTTAATTAAGTCTTAAACTTTGTGCTGAAAAAATCTTTCAGTGATGAATAACAAAGGGGAAGAGTATTTTACTTTCCACAAAACACTGGCTGCTTGGCTGGCAGTAGTTGTAGGATGTGATCCAAACCCACTGAATGTCAGTGGCTCTCGTTCTGTTCACTTCAGTGAAGCTGACCTACAGGGTGCTTTGTTATGGCTCATCCTTATTAGTCAAGTTTAGTCCAGCAGTCCTAGGGGTGAGCCTGGGATGGCTTTGCTCTTTTGTACAGCCACAAAGGAGGCTGTCTGGGCAGTGAGGAGCTTGTGCTCTGAACAGAGACATCAACAGAGCAAACAACCACCATATGTTCCTGCTGATTGGGAATGGGCAACAGGAGAGGGGGAGAGGAAAATTAAAAGCTTGGAGCTTGGTATGGAGTAAAAGAGATGGCAAAAGATGACATCCACTGGTGTTGATAATCCCCTGGGAAGGCTTGTTTGTGGCTTGTCTTGGAAGTTGCTGGCCAATTCCTGTTGTCTGTGTATTGCAGACTCACTGCATGTGCATTCTGGTAACCTCTGCATGGTCTTAGCAGAAGTTAGCTGAGTGTCTGAGCATCTGATCCTCTTTCAGCAGCTTTAACACCTCTACAACAGCAGTTTATACACCTCTTAAGTTAAGTGTGTGCCAAAGTACTTCGTTTGGTGTCAGGGCTCAGTACATGAGCCTAGAAGGGCATTGGGAGAGCTTTACACTGACGTGACTGGGAAGAAACAGAAAGTGTTTGTGTTTGGTGTAGCTAATCTGGAATACACCACAAACACCAAATTAATCTCATTTAAAAGCTTTGAATTAAGTCTGTTTACTGTAATGCCCTTGCTCCTTTGGATTGCCTTTCATTCCTGTTCAGGTCTTACCCAAAACCTGCTTACCTCCCTATTTCCTATCCTTTCAGCTCCCTCAAATGCGATGACTCAGCAGCTACAGGATGAATTTGACAGTAGCGTGGAGAATGCAGAAGCTTGGATGAAGGCCATCCAGGAGAGGCTGAGGATCAATGACAACACCAAAGGACCTCGATCTGCCCTAGAAGCCAGACTGAGAGAGACTGAGGTAAGGGAAGAGCGGTGGAATTCCGAGGGGGCTCTCACTGCTGCCCTTGTTACAGCAGTTATTGCTGTGAGCTCAGGAGTTCTCCATTAGGAAACTGTCAGCTGCCCCTGCTTGTTGGAGCACTGGACCTGTGTGGATGGGTTCACATCAATATTATTTTTAAATTTTCTGTTTGCAAATTGTTTATGCATGTAGAAGAAGAGAATGGCAATTTCTTATCACAGGCTTCAAACTTTTCAGATTGATTTGGAACACTAGCAGCAGGTTTGGCAGGTTAAAATATTTACACTCACCTCAGGCCTGGAACAATTTGGTTGCTGCTTGCAATTTCCATAGTAATTTGCAGACGACCAGCATATAGTATAAGAGAATCAGATCACGTTAGTGTTCCATCCCCTCCAGGACTCTGGCACTGATAGAAAAAGATTCCAGTGTCCTGCTAATGGGCTGTTTCAGAGTAATTCCTTTGTCCTTTTCCATAGCCCTGATGATAACAGGGTTTACAGATCCCCTTTATGATCTGTTTAATGAAAAGGTAAAGGTTCTCATTTTTCCTGGTTTTACTTAATCTGTTGTATAACTCTTCTCACAGAGATGCTGCTGCAGATTGTGCCTACTCTCTTACAGTGATTTCACATCCATTAACTTCAGTTTCATTAGATGTTATCTAGGTCTTGTAATCTCAGAGAAGGAAACACTCCTGTTTGTCCCATTTGTACCATTCGTGATTGGAGGGAGTGGTGATATTTCTATGACTAACACTGAAACTATTTTTATATTTTTATTACCTTTAATTCCAAGTAATTTGTTCTTTAATTTAAATGGCAAGATCTTTCCCATATTATTTACCCCCAAAGCCTCCCTGTTGTGTGTTTACTTACATTTGGCCTGCCTCTTGTGAAGTTTAACAAAAAAAGTTTCAGGCTTACAGGATAGATGATGAGGTGGTTTACAGTGATGTCTTCAGCCTTTTTCCTTTGCTGTGGTTTATTGGAGGATGGATCCTGCCTCTGGCATAATATAGAGACTGTTCATGGAGTGATGGATGGTGGCTAGACTTGCATGTCAGTCATAAAAATCTGAAGCATCTTATCTTGGTCTGTAATTTCGTTTTTCTGACTTTAAATTATTTTCACCCTTTTGTCTGGGAAACTATGATCTGTACAGTCTCAAGAAACACTCAAGAGACACAGGAACTCAAGTAAAAGAGTGGTAGTTTGGCAAAGGGGGAACATTCATGGCAGAGATAACAAGTTGTAAGGTCCAGAGATTTATGATGATGTGATATGGCCTGAATTGCTGAAACCTGTTTACTTCTGTGGGCTTTAGAGGAGGTCTGTAACATGCAAAAAGTCATGTTAAGAGATTCTTTCACCTCAGACTTTGGAGATTCATCATTCTAAAGATTAACAAGTTCTTTCTTCCTGTGTGTACCTTAATTCCTGCTCCTTCATCCTACCTCCTTTCTGGGCCTGGCTTCTGTCTCCAACTCAGATGTCCTCATGATGTGCTCACTGCTTTACCTATTGGCTGTTTTAAAATCCAGTGATCAGTTTTCAGTTCCTTTCTTGCACCTGGCTTGCCAGTTTTTTTCATGCTTCCTTCCTGTGGTTTATTTCCTGTTAATTTGTTAATGAAAATGTCAGCCAATGAGACAAACCATGTAAAAAAACAGATTTGAAAAAGAAAAATTATTGTACAGCCACTGCTTTCTCTCCAGCTGTTGTTTGCTTCTAGTTGCTGGAAAAATATCAGGCTTAGAATGCAACTTTACTCTTACACTGTACCTGTTGGATGATAGCTGGGCTTGTATTTTCTTGTTTTGACCTGTGTCCCTGGATTCTGTTAATCACACCTTTCTTAGTAAATACCTTTTCCAAACAACTGTTTATACATCACATGCAGGTGTGCTGCCTTCATGCCAAAAGAACAGGCTTTGCTTTTCCCAGAATGTGTGACTGGAGATCCAAAGGCCTTTTACTTGTCTCACCTTTGATCATGTGAGATCAATGATCAGATTGATCATTTGACATGATCAAATCCCATAGGCCTAATTTGACCAAAAGTAATCGCTGATTTTGAAAATCTTTCATTATAGAAGCCTTATTCGTCAAATTAGAAAGGCTGCAGTTTGCCAGAAGATTATGGAAGAGCAGCAAGAAAAGCTAATTTGATAGTGTCAGAAGTTTGGATAGAGAAATGTTGGATAGAGAAATGTTGAAATCTGACATCCGAATTGGTGGATAATTAATCTCTTAAATTGTACAGAACTTGTGCTGATTTTTCCATCTCTGGACACTTAAAATTAGATGACTCCACTTTCAGTTCCTGGCATTCCTATTTGCTTTAGACACACATTTTCACCAATTTATAACTTAGCAATTTAGGGTCGAAGTAAAATTTGGTAGCAGGCAGAAAATTCCACTAGTTAATTTCTCTTGGCTTCTTTTCTAAGCCAGCTTTTATTTGCACTAGGAAGCTTTTTTAATATGCTTCATGATTTCTTATAATATAGCTTAAAATTGAGAGGTTGCAGTGTAGCCTGTGGAGGTTGCCTCTGTGCTTTGGCAGGTGGGGGAGAGCAGCTGGCAACACAGTGCTGTAACCTTATAACAGCAATGGAAACACAGCCACAGGCATTTCATAGAGGATGGTCTGGTTTTTTGTAGCTAACTAAAATGTTTTTCAACTGCTGTGTGGTTTTCAATTAAATTCAGTCCTTTAGGATGTTTAAGAATAAACATGTCTGAAAAAACATTCATATTTTCCTTCCAGGAGAAACTGCAGCACTTAGGTGGGAAGGGTTAATTGTCTGTGTTGTATATAAACATTTCCATCCCGTGGTAGTGTCATGTTAACAACTGGACCCTCTGATCATGAGGGTCTTTTCCAACCTATGTGATTCTATGAGTTCATGATTCCTAGGTAAAAACAAAGTTTACATGTCATCAATTGTGCTTGTTTTCTTCCCATGCTTTCAGTATAATTTTTTTTTCTCATAGAAAATACGTGCACTGGAACCAGAAGGCAGCTTGAAAATGGACTTGATTCTTGTGAAGGCAGATGCTGCTCTTCGCAGCATCAGTGAGGATAAGAAGCATGAGGTACTCTCCAAACTAAAAGACATTAAAGCCCTGTGGGAAGAGACAGCCATATACATTACTCATTGTCACAGGTAAGACAAACATACTCCTGGGTGTGTTGAGGCAGCTGTTTCCTCCCGTGCTTTCATTAAGTGCTTCCTGCTTCTCTCTGCTGCCTGGATTGTAGATAGCAATTCCCTGGTAATCCCAGTCCCATGAGCATTTTGGGGACTGTGTGGGGAGAGAGGATCAATGAGACCTCAGTGCTCTGCCTTCACACCCACCCCCCTCATGGAATGATGAGTTTGGTCAGGCACAGGCACCTTTTACAGAATATTTCCTCCCCAAAGCAGAGAGGACCTGGGAAGTTAATCCGAGCCCTGTGAAATCAGAGTAAGTTAAAATTGCTGAGAACCTTGTGCACTGCTTTAAGGCCTATTGAGATTGTTGGTCTCCACTGCTGCCATGATCATTTCATCTAACTCCTCTCTCTTGCTCTCCCCACCAGCCGCATTGAGTGGGTCTGGCTGCACTGGAGCGAGTACCTGAAAGCCCAAGACGAGTTTTACACATGGATTCACAACATGAGGGTAACCTTGGAGCCTGACATTGAGTTGCAGCTTGGCTTAAAGGAGAAGCAGTGGCAGCTGAGCCACGCTCAGGTTTTGCAGAATGATGTCCTAAATCAGTCAGTCCTGCTGGAAAGGCTGCTGGAGGAAGCCACTTCATTGTTCAGCAGGATAGGTGACCCCAGTGTTGATGAGGATGCTCAGAAGAAAATGAGGGTGGAATATGAAGGAATCAAGCAAGAAGCTCAGGTACACTTACAAAGAGTGGGATGTGTTCAAATTCCTCCAATCTATGGTGTTTGCTACTTGCTCCTTGAGTGATGGGGCTTAGCTGGTAGGACTGCTAAAGGAAACAGGGCTGGGGAGCCCTGTTCTTTCAGTCAGTGGACTGTTTGAAGCAATTGTCAAGTCCCAAGATGAGCTGTTGTCCTGGGGTGATGTTAATTGGGATGCTCTTACATGGTGCTTTATAGTGTGTTGCTGTAAAGTAACTGCAGGCTACTTGCTGTGACCTAGTGGATATTGCTTTAGGTCATCTCTGTATAAGGTTTGAATTGTTCCTTACTTTCAGCACATTAGTGGTTCATGTATAACCAGAGGCAGAGTACCCATTCCAGGAGCCAGGGAATATGACATGGACACTAGCATTAGTTGAGACCCAGAGCTCCCTCCCTGCCTGCAGAACTGGGAAACACGGCGGTGGTAGTCAGCTCTGGCCCAACACTTTGCTCAGTGGCCAGTTCCACTATCTGAAAGATTCTCATGCACACAGATACTAATTCTTGCCCAATACTAATGTTCCAGCTTGAACAGTTGTTAGATAGGCTGGTGTAAGACATCCTGCTTCATCTTTCAGTGCCAGTGATCTCCTTTCACCCTATTTCTGAGTAAAGATTTCAGAAAATGTTTGTACTTTCCACTTCTAAAACTCAAATAAAGACAGGATTAGACCATGTGGTATGGCCAAGGGGCAGACATCTGTGGATGGGCAGAAGAATTCAATTTCTTACTAACCAAATCAATAGAAAAACTCAAAGGGATATTTTAAATATATATATATAGAGACATTTATACCAAACATATAGAAATTGAAACCTAGTTTTTGCTCATAGTGACTTTCAGGAATTTCATAGGCTAGAATTACCTGGTGCAAATAGAATTTATTTTCATTACATTGATTCTGCTGTCTACCTCTGTTATAATGGTGCCTTCTGTTAATTCCCACACCTACACACCAGTCTAGAACTGGAGTCTGACAGTGATGGATGCTTTCCCTCCCGTTGTACAAAGTTAACTTCAGATCACACTTAAAGAACAACAACATTGGGATGCTTGCTCCATTTCCCTGCTTGCTCCATATTTTCTCTTTTGAAATGAAATACCCCAAGCCCCAAAAGGGACAGAAAACCCCCTAAGCTGGCATCTTTTGTGAGCATGTAGTTCAGATACTTTTCTAGCCATAAATATGCAATTACTGCTAATGTCTCTCCAAAATGTAGAGTATATTTGGAAATTCTGTAGCTGCAGATGCCCCAGAGAAGCCACCAGCAGACTTGGGCCTCAACACTGATTATTTATTTTTAAAGGTTGTTAGCTTGATTACAAGGCATCTGGATATACAAATAAGAAGGTTTCTGGGACTTCAGGTGTTGTCTATCTAGATTGCCATTTAAAATTACCATTCATTCCCTCCTCACCAAAATTGTCTTTGGTTTTGAAGCCAGAGACAGTCATTAGTTATTTTAATAAAGCTGTTCTTTCAAACAAGTAATTTGAATACTCAAAGCCAGAATGTGACCTCTCTGAGACTGGTATTACATAGTGTGATTTCTCTAACCAACTTGGATATGTGCTGGTGTAAATGAGATCAGGAAGTGGCTCATATTAGTTAGACAAAATATGTCTTTATGTTTCCAGCCAACTGAGACACTAGAAAAAGCTTTTCTTTGGCATTGGTTATAAATACTACATTTCATAGAAAGATGGAGTGAGAGAATCCAGCTAAGAAATCCCTCTTTCAGGAGGTATGGAACAAAGAAGGGAGTTGGAAAGCCTTGGATTTTGCAACTGAAGTAAACGAGGAGTTTATAATCTAATGCCAAGGTTACAGGCACCTTGGGAATTGCGTTGGAAAGTGTAACTCTTGTTAGAGAAACCCTGCCACCTCTTCCAGCGGGCAGGAGGAATGAAAGAGACAGGAATTGTAAGGGGATTGCTCTGGCCCCTCACATGATGGGAGGCCAGACTCAATGTGACTTGCAGATGCCAGCTGAATGCCTGAGCAGAGGAGGCTCGCTGGTGTTCGTAGATTACACTGGTGTTTGAAGAGCATTTTTAGACCTTGTGCAGTTGTCCAGCTCTATCAGAAGGCAGGCTCTTGGACAGTGTTTCTTAAATGGTTTGCCTGTGATATTGCTTCTCTGCTATGAGCAAATGGTGGGAAGGCTTTTTTTTTTCCTTAGTGCTAGCATGTGTCTTTAACATTCCCAAATTTTAAAAGCATATCATTTAATTGTGTCGACAGGAATATTTTTAGATGTGGCAGCCATTTCCTACATGCTTTGCCTTGCCCAGGAAATTAAAAATACACAGAGGTGAATGGTTGTTTGTTTTAGCATAAATGAGGATTGAAGATATACATGATATACAGGATTTTGATATTTAGGAAATATATTAAATACTGAGCACATCAAATTCATTTCAGTCCATGTTGTCTCTGTTAACTGAAACCTAGATACTTAGAGTGGTTTACTAAGGTACCCCAAGGGTAAGACTAAAAGCACCATGAAGGGATACAGGAGCTTTCTGTACTCTCCTTGAGATTCTACAGAGGGATTTAAAGTAGGAACTTCCTTTATGTGCTCTAGTCTGCCTTTCAGAAGAGGCTCATTTGCTTTCACTGACTTTGAAGGGAGCTTAGGGGAGAAGGCTTCCTAAGCCTCTGCCCACCTTCCCTGAGTAGCCAGGGCTGGACATATTCTGCCCAGACACATCCCTTTCTCTGCAGCCCATGGCAAACCTGTTCTTTTCCTGTCTGTGCTCCTATTCTTTGCAGAGCTATGTCCTTGCTTCATGTCTCCTCACATTAGCCAAGTGAATGCGGATGTTGAATTTCACACTGTGATGCTTTCCAAACATCTAACCTAACAGGAGCAAGTGATACCTTATTTTTCATTTTTGGAAAGTTTTCCTGCTTAACCTCTCATGTGGGGAGGGCTCAGCCATCCCTTTGTAAGACTTTTGTCTGACAGCTGGCACAATCTGTCCGGATCCATGGCATCTATTTCTTGACCTCACAGGCCAGTAGTACGCCCAAACTGCTTAATCCTTTTTTTTAGCTGGCTAAGGGTAAGTTGTTTTGACTTCCTTTTGAATCCCTTGTATATCAGCCTAAGTTTTTTGAGCTTAATAACATCTCTGCTTTGTTACTCTGATTTATGGCTTTTAGAGCTTCTGCCAGTAAAACAAATTAATCTAATTCCCTGGAGTCCATAAGCTTGGCCTGACTTGGTTCACTTTGATGTGCGGCCCTTTTACACTGCTGTAGGGAGTGTCTTCTTCAGGTCCTTAAGCTGAGGTGGAAGCATGAATTGTTTAACCTCTGCAGATCTGAGAATTGACACACGGGGACATAGTAAGTGAGGTGTTCTGCTGGATACATCTTGGCCACAGAAGTCTGCAGTCATAATTCTACCTTTTGGTTTCATCCAATCCTGTGTATGGCTGGTGCTATGAAAGGTTATGCTCTAATAAATGGGCAGCATTTCATCCTCCATGGGAAGCAACTGTCCCTTAGCTGTCCCCCTTCTGTCCCACTGCAAGTCAGCTAACTTGAGGGGAGTCACTCTGGATTTGCAAAAGTCAGCAGAGACTGAGGTGGCAGTGTGAAAAACAGACTGATGGTGTTCCACTCGCAGGGTGGTGGCTCTGAGGTGCACCATGGGCATTCCCTGTCCCAAAGGTGAAGGGCAAAGTCCCTGAGTGCCTGCCAGCCCCAGCACAGGGATCCTGTTGGCCTGGCTGGGGAGCAGGCTGACAGGATGGGCATGGCTCACTGCCACCTCAGGCAGGTTGGCAGGTGTGGGGGCCTGTCCAGAGCCTGACAGGGACAAGGGAAGTGCAAAGGGGACTCTTCAGCTCTACCCACCATTGCAGCTGTCACTCCACTTGCCATGGAGGGCAGCTGCTCAGAGGCCACTGATGTGTCCTGTGTTACACAAAATGAAATGTGGCCCACTGTCTGTGAGAGCAAAGGGTGCTTTCAAGGGTGCTGCAAGCACTAAATGGATTGCACAAGGAATGATTTAATTTTTTTGAATCTAATGTAACCACACTGCACCTCAATTGGCACCTCCCCATGCCAACTGGAGAAGGGCAAGAAAAAATCAGTCTGGTTTTGCAGAAAACAACATTTACATTGAATATTGTATGAGTGAAACAACAGGGCAGGTGATTTGTGTCGAACTCAAAAAGGCCTGAACTTGGGCTGGCAAGCAAGGCTAGTCTGAGCAAATGTAACTCTGACTTTTAAGGAGTGCCAGACTGGATCAGCAGGCAGCAACTCATGATGTGCAGGCCCTTGTAAATTCAGGATTGTTGGTTATAGGGTGCACAGGCAGTAAATTGAAAAAGGAAGCCTGCTTTCCATTGGCTTGAATTTGCTTCCAGTCTGTGATACCACCACAGAATAGTTTGTGACCTGCTAAGTAAGTACAAAAGGGCCTGGGCTACATAGTTGAAGGTGATGGTCATTTCCCATGAAGTCTGTTTAAATAATGAACAATTTAAAACAATTTTCACACCTCTAGTGCATTGTCTTTTATTTTCATTTTGAGAGATAAGGCAGATGTGCCCGTCTTTATTTTTAACCTTGTCTCTCAAAGTGAAAACCAGAATCAAACTTCTGTCTCTTCTTTTTCTAAGAAAGAGAGTAGGAAGGTTTGTAAAACCAGAAATTCATCTAACAGGGCCTTGCAGTTTGTGTTCCTGGAGACTTAGACATTGAGAGCCTGCAGCAAAATCCAGACAGGAACAAGCCTTTGTGTAATTTTGTGTTCTGTTTCTCAGGGTAAACTTTGAATTCCTGTGGAGGCCAAGTGTTATTTGGGCTCCTGAAAAGGGAATCTTGTTTATAAATTACAAATACATTGTAATTTATAAATTTATAAATTACAATGTAAAGGGAAAACAGCCAGATAAGCACAGTCCTCACCACTTCTGATGTCTCTTTTTACAGAACAGAGTGAAACTTCTTGAAATGATAACCAAGGAACATGAGCAGTACAGCGCCAATGTCAACCAGTTTCAGTCGTGGCTGAATGGTGTCACAGAGAGATTAAACTGCTGCATTGGAGGAGCAACCAAGTCTTCATCAGAGGACAAGCTAAAGACACTGAAGGTCCTTGAACAATATAGCTCTAACAGGGAGTTAGGATTGTGTGTTTTTCATGCCCGTATGTGTTGCTCAAACTATACCAGGGTGTCCTTGAGAAAAGAATTGCACGTACAAAATAGATGGTGATTTTAGCATGGTCTAGGGCAGATGAGGTCCTGAAACTGTTTGTATGTATGGCTCTTCCAGTATGAGTCACAGACTGGTCTGGTTGGTTTTTCTTAAAGCCTGATCTCCAATGGTTATGTGATTCCTTGAGAATCATGTTTAAATAAATCAGATTTGGTAAACATGATCCAGATAGACCCTGAAGGTTTACAGTTTTTGAGAGTTTAGAGCTGGTGATGAAAATACCAGTTTTGAGAACAATATCCTTTGTTTTGGTGCCAATGTTTTTAATGTTTAGCTTAAAATCTCTGAGATCCAACTATTAATATATGTCTAGTGCCTGCAGCTGCTGTTCTCTTTGTCAGGGATCTCAGGTGATAAGCATTAATGAAAACCAGTATTTTCAGCATCAATGACAATTAGTATTACTCAGAAGGCAGTCAGATGACTAACCCTGGCTTCTGGTCACTTGAAAAAAGACATATTTTGAAATAAGAAGTGAAAACCAAAATACATACAACCAGGAGAGGTGATCTTTTCTCCTACTGATTTCAGCTTTTTCCCCAGCTTCCCATTCCTAAAGATAATCTTTAATAGACTTTTCTTTTTTTTTTTTTTTTTTTCAGGAAATTGCCAAAGACATTAGGAGTGGTGGAAAGAAATGGAAGCACCTTGAAAGTCAGTGTGCAGAAGTGATTCAGAATACCTCTCCACTTGGATCTGCAAGACTAAAGGATGAGCTTGAAGAGCTAAGAAAAGCCTTGGAGAAGTTGAAACTTCTGAGTAGTGAGGAGGAGGAGAGAGTGCTCAAAATCCAACAGTCTGAAAGTGCCTATGAGTCCCAAGCCAGACAATTAGAAGCAGACATCCAGAAGCTGAGAAAAGATCTGCAGAGACTAGAAAATGACCTGGACCCTGGGGAAGGGGAAAAGACTGAAGATGAATTTGTAGCTCTGTGGAGAAAATGCAATGTAAGTTGTTATCCTTTGTGTGGAGGATCAAGTGCAGCCGTAGACTGAGCGTGCAGAGTCACATCCCACAGATGCCTGTCCCATTGGTTAGACATGATAAGGAAGGAGTGTGAGAGTGTGTGAAACACACTGAGGAAAATGTGACTGCCAACAATGGAATCCACTGTCCCAGCCTTCATCTTACACTGCACAGAAGGAGCAGGGTTGGAGGATGTGCTGGAGTTTGTGCCTAGAGTTCAAAGGGATCATATGCAAAAGGCACAATACAGAGCAAGCAACACAATTTGCTCCACTTAAAAAGAAGCAGGAAATTAATGCCTCACTGTATATATAAATACACAGACACAAGTGCATTTACATGTATTTCTGAGGTATTTGGTATTTGATACATTTCTGTATCATATCCTTCATCTCTGTAAGATGGGTATCTCTCTTTCCTAGCAGACACATCATCAATACTAAGAAGTCTCAAGATTGTAACAATCCAGTATTTACACCAAAACCAATCTGCTGCAAAAATGAGTGCAAAAAATCTACTTAATCACACATGAAGTAGATAAGAATCTTTACTACTCGTTTCCTCTCGAGGGCTGGTTTTGCATTTATTATCTGTTCTCAAAATGCCTTTCATTGCTGTTTGCATGTCTAGAGCTATGCAGGACTAACTGGGAAAAGTGTATGCAAAAAGGATCCAAAAAATGTAGACTGGTTCAATCCATCTACATTTGCATGGGTTTTAGTTGTTTTTGTTTCCCTGAGTCACCCTGGAATTAACATTCTCTATATGTGAGTCTCTGAGAAGGATCTGTTCAGGGAAACAGATGCTGTTAAGACTGCTCCAAAAATGCAGCTCATGTTATATACTTCAATCAGTGAACTGAAACCAGGCCTGTTTGTGATTCACTCTGTTCAAACAGTGAACCCTGCAGATCAGATGCAGAGGCTGGGCACTGTGAGGGAAGGAGAGAGAGCCTGCTGGAAAAAAAAAAAAAACCTGTTGCAGAGAATGTTTTCTGTCTTAGCAAAGACCATATTCCTTGTAACCAGGAAAAAAGCCACTGAAGGGGAATTTGTGCATACCCTGAGACACAGCCTTACTTCTTCATTTCATATACCAGACACTACATAAGGTGTGATCTGTTCATTATTTTTATAATTAAGGCAACAAGAGCAGCTCTGGCTGCAGAAGAGTCAAAGATTGAGAGGCTGAAGGCTCAGCTTAAAGAACTGCTACGGTTTTCCCAAGATGTGCAGCCACATGCTGAGAGTGTTGTCTCTGCAATACACCAGTATCAAAGGTACTGGGAGGTCTGATTATGGTGGGCAGGTGGGGGAAATCTTCTCTGAGAGATTGTCAGGGGCCTAAGAAAAAAATGATATGCCATCCAATTGTAGGTGATAGGCAGAAAGAAAAGCTTTTGCTAATTACATCTGCCTCCATGCTTCAGTAAAGCTGTAATTTCAGCTATTTGCTAGGAGCTGGAGGCTCCTGGTCATTTTCAAGCAATGATCTTACATCATTAATGTTGTGTATGGTTTGAAGAAAATTAGATTGTTGGCAGCTAATTTGATCTAATTAGCATTTCATAATAGTAATTTATGTATTTTGCTTGCCTTTCATGCCAGCAACTAGAAAATCAGGACAGGAGCCGTGGTAGTAAACGGTTCAGAAGAATTATGGCCCTCCCTTGCTGAGTTCGTTGCGGTGACTCACCAGCCTTAGCAATTATTTGGCAGAGTTTATTCCCCTTCTTCTGGCAGCTTATATGCATGTTCCTGTTTTCAACTTGCCTTGGGTTGGAAACTCTGAAAGTTTAGCCTCTCCCAGACTTCAGTGTTTCCGTTTCCAGGCTGCCTGGAATCAGGAAGTAAGAAGCTGCAGCAAATTTTGCAAACTAGAAGAAAGGATCATTTTTTTAAGGGAAAAAAGAAGGTCAGTTCTTTTCCTGTTATCCCAGCTTATTTCCCTCTGCACAGTATGCTGTCCTGCTGGAAGGGTTATAGCTCATTGTGGGAAAGGACTTCAGTTTAAAAACTAGCAAATAAACAATGTTGAAAGAGGAGCAAAGAAGGCAGGGGACTTGCCTATGAGTAGAAAATGGCAGCTGCTTCTTTGCCAGCTTCTCTCTAAAGCTTCTTTGGGAAGTCTGGCAGCTTCCCACTGAGCCTGGCAGGGGCAGCAGAGCAAATGGCAGAGGACGTGTTAAGTCAGAACTTTCTGTTTGCAGAGCTTTTGGCCTCTGCAAACTTGCCTTTGTTTAGCCCGTCACGGCCCAGTGACACAGGTAAGATTGTTTGTGTTTTTATAGAAAGGCAGGATTGATCCTGATTGGCATTGCTCTCACCTGCCTGTCTTGTGAGTTTGCAAGATACTGTTCCCCTATGAACATAAAGCTTGGGCTGTATTTTGCCATGTCAGGCAGGATTCTGCAAACTGTGAGTCTGAGAAAAACAGGAGGCAGCTGCATGGGGTGTGTCACTGCTGGGCCTTGTCGCTTGGCTGGGTTTGGGATAAGCCTTTTTAAGAGAAGCCTGGATATTCATCGAAGGTTTGCAGATTAATGTTTTTTTTTTCCAATAATAGAGCTGTGTATGTATGTGGATACATATACATAAATACAAAGCTTTTATCAGAATCACCTCTGTGTACTAATATAAATTCAAGTGGTTCTGCAAAATTAAAAATAATTGTATTTGATATAAAAATGTATTTTTCAGTTTTTGTGTTACTATCGAAGACTTTTTAATGCATTTTTTTAAGAAATAAAGCCTTATTTTTTGCAGGCAGCTGCAGTTATGTTCTAGACACTCTTGATTTGTTCCTCCCATCAGTCAGTGAGATAATAATTTGTTAAATCCCACTGGTGACAGCAGCCAAGAAAGATCACGTACAAGGAGAGGCTGCTGGCTACTAGAAAAGCAAAGTAATTCTTGATACACAGTTGCACAAAGGACAACTGTGTCCTACAGCATCTAAATAAAGTTTTGTCAGATGTCTCTGACTGACAGAGCAGCTGTTGGTATGCAACACCAGGCTGAGGCAGTAGAGCAGACTGAGGCTTTTGTGTTGTATATGGTTTACACCCCAGTATTGTGTTAATTCATGCCTTGAAGAATAGAATGTTTGGGTTTGGATTTCTTCATAATCCTTCTCTTGGTTGTCACTTTATCCTTACAGGGTTAGAGGCAAGACTTCTAAAATGAGCACTGATACAGAAACCCAACTGAGGAGACTCATCCAAAATCCCCTGCAAAGTTTTGAACAGTGGAAGCCATCAGTCCAGATGCTCCTGGAGACTCCAGAGCCAGAACTGGCTCACATCGAGGTAGCAAAGCTGTTGCTAAGTTCAGACATGTGGGTTTCACCTAGCCTGCATACAGCTGCCAGGCAGCAGCAGCTGAAGGTCCTGCCAGTGTGGCAGGAAAACCCACAGTAGGGATGGAGGTCTTAGGTCCAGCAGTAGCACATTGTTTTATTTTCTGCTCTCCATTTAGTTAATTGGAGTTGTCATCTGAGTAGGCTGCATAAAGTGCTAGATATCTTTAACAATTATGATCATATTGTTTAGCATTAGCCCAGATCTCCCTGGATGGGAAGTTTGTGGACTCTGTTAACGAAGAATTATTTGGTGATAAAGACATGGAATTAAAATGCACGATTTGTGGTGTGCCCAGCAAGGTGTGTTTGTTACTTTGTCATCCCTGTGATCTCCTGAATAAATGTGTCTGTGAACAGGGATGGAATTTATCCTCAGGATGAGCATTCAAGCTGCCCTTCCTGTTGGTTTTTTAGGCCTCTCCTCTGCACAGACAACTCTTTCCATAGTACAGCTTACCTCTCTTCCTGTTCACAAAATGGATGCAGCCCTGGTGCCTCTAACATTATCAGGAAATTTTTTCCTTTAACTGGGCACTGTCCAGGTACCTTCTGTTACCCCTTGTTGGCCCAGCATACTGTTTTTACCTGACTTTGTCACTGCTTTGGTTGTGTGACTTGTGTAAGAATAATATGGTTATATGATTATTATTTTGGTATGATTTCACTGGAAGAACTTTTTCTCCTTCAGGCTGCTCTAGCTGAAAGCTCCCAGTTCAAGGAGAAGTTGATGACATTACAGCTAAAGAAAGATTTGCTGAACAATGTCCTCGGTGAGGAAAAAGCAGCATCTTTCCTTCAAGAAGTAGCTGAAGCTTCAAAAGAGAGAGAAATTCTACACAAAAGTCTGCTGCAAAGCAAGAGCAAACTCCAGGTGAACTACAAAACCCATTTATTGTCTTTGCCTGTGATAAAGACAAAGATGAAGTCTTTACTAAGCCAGTTTTATACATATAAATTTAGTACTAATCCCTTTTCCTAGATTGATCAAATATTCAAATAAATTTGTAGTCTGTTGCATAGCCTAGCTCAGTGTTTGTTCTGAATACGAAGCAGATATTGACAAAAGATAGTGGCAAGGGGTGTAAGTTGAATGCTGGACCTGTTTTCTTATTTCTCCTTCTAGAATTTGATATTACAACACAAGAACTTTGATGCTGGTTTTGCACCATTGCAGAAGAAATTATCTGCCATCAAAGCCAAATTAGATCTGGAGAAGGAACCACGGCCTGACCTCTTGGGTAAAAAGACTCAACTCCAGAGACTCCAGGTACATTACAGTATATTACAGGAGGAAGCAGCTGGAAGCTGTTGGTGGTACACCTTCTTGGGCTAGTTCAATTGCTAAAGAAAATGTATCCTGACACTTCCCACTGGTAGTGAAACTGCACAAGATAGATTGGTTCAGGTTAACTTCCTCAAAAGAGTTTCCAGTGGTCCACTTCCTTTTGTATCCTCCTCTTTCTGCTCTTTACCTTGTCACTTAGCTGTGACACATGCTGGATTTTCTCCACAGGCTGATTCAGCTGTACAAGATAAAAAAAAAAAAAAAAAAACAAAAAACAACAACAACAAAAAAACCTATCAGAAAAAGATAATTTTTTTAGTTAGTGTTTTGAACTACTACAGCAAAGGGTCCAACATGCAGTAGAGCCTGTTTGAGGCATACAGTGGGATTACATACCTGGGAGAGAGGAGAGAAGAGTGGGAGGAGAAGGGAGAGGGGATGTGACTCTGCCAAGGTGAGCTAGGACAGTTCAGCTATACGGTGGCACTTCATCCTTGGTGACCACAGGGGTGTTATCACCATAGCTCTTTGCTGGTTATGCTCTGGCTCCTTTGGCACTTCTCAGCAACTTATCTTCCCTGTTATCTCACAGTAATATGTAAAGGACATCCAACTAATTCTTTCAGAAACATTTACTCCTAGGCCTTGAAACAATTAATTTTCTTAATGACAGTGGTTGTTGCTGGTTTTTTTTTGACCTCACACTGTCAAATGAAGCTGCCTTTGGTGTATGTTTTATGAAAGTCCATGCCATACCTAGCGCACTACACGTACAGAATCTGTCTTTCCCTCTGCAGATGATCCAAGATGACTTGGCCGAGCTTGCAATTCACATGGAGGAGATAGAGAAGCTCGTTCAGTCAAATGCCACACACAGGCATGAAATGAACCAACTCTCATCTGACTCTCAGGCCCTGAAGAGATCACTAGAGGTAACATATGAAAGTTTTTAGTCCCCTGGGGAGTTGTCAGTTGCCTCTATTTAAAAATATTTTAAAAAAATCTTTGAGCATATGACATTACATGCTTTGAGTGACAGATATTTTCTTTTCAGGGGAAGAAGACATTGAATTCTTACGACTTTGATAACTATTCCAGTATTTTCTGATTGTCTCTAATGTGATTTCCCTTGGGGATAGGATGCCATTCACACAGATTTTATATCTGTATAAACTATTTCTGGTGTGAGCCTGAGGTTTCTGACCAAAAGAGCTCAATAGTTATATTATCATGGTGGTGCTTGCACTTCACAGATTATGGGAGAGGGAGTTTGTATCAAAGTGCTTGGGGGTTTTATGGCTTTGTTACCTAAAAGTTAATGAGAGAAAAGTGCTGCAGTTGTATAAATACTTACAAAATCCTGAGGCATTTTGTAGCTTGCAAACATACCTATAAAATGACCTCCAGAGCAATCTCAGAAGAAGAGCTCATTAAGTTACCTTAGCTATGTAGTTCGCTATAAAATTGCATGTGTTACCTGAACATGCACTGTAGAATTCTAGTTTCAATCTCACTCATCCCATTTATCACTGAACTGAACTTTTTCCAAGTGAGTCTGTACAGTCATTTCTGATTGAGGGAGTGCAAGATGTATTTGCTATTGACTGGGATACAAAACCCCCAGACATGTGTATTCTTTATTCCCTTTCAGCTGAGAAGGAAAGGAGCTATTCTAGTTCTTAATACCCCCTCGTGTGGCTGAATTCAGGCCTGCAGGAGCTTGGAGGTGTTTTCCACACCACTGATGCTAAAAGGACAGGTTTTTTTGTCTCTTGTTAATAGCTGCTTTTTTTCTTTTTGCCCATGAGGTTCTGTGCCCATCATAGTGTTAGAGCCAGTAAAGATAGTGCTTTTCGTCTGTCTTTATCTGACATATTTTTATCATTTGTAGATGATGATACAGCAGAGTGAAGACCGCGTTCAGAAGCATTGGGCATATAATGACAAACTGTCTGACCTCCAGCAGTGGATCTCAGTAACCAGGGAGAAGATTGAGTCCTGCCAGGATGCTGAGGAAGAGCAGAACACCGAGGGCAGGCTGGAAGACCTGGAGGTGAGAAAAGCATCTTAGTTTAAGATGTTCATTACTCACCTTGCAGCATTCAAGTTGCAACATTAAGAGTGGGGGGTTCTAGTGAGGATTTCCTGGTTCTTTACTTCTTTACTTCCTGGAGAGTAATGATGTGTGTTTCTCCTTCAGTATCTGTTGGTTGCTGTTGCCTCTCTGCTTTGCCCTGTGTTGTGGGATGTGGGGCCATGTAACAGACAAGAGCAATGAAAATGAGTAAGAAGTGTTGAGATGGATAAAGTATTATCCAAGGACAGGTGGTCTGTTCCTGTCAGGGTCATCTCTCTGAACAACACCTGCCTTTGCCTGTGTGTACTCATCAATACATTCCTGCCATTTTAGCTGGCCTTCTACTTGTTGAACTCAGCTGTTCTAAAGCTTGCAGCTTTTCCTTGGGTAGCAGTACTTTGCATGCTGAATTCACTCCAGTAGGTTACTTCAGCTGGCAGCTGTTGCCTTCATATGGGAGACCAAAATCTTTCATGGGAAGGCTACAGAAGGAGGGGCATTGACAGCTTGCACTCTCAATCTTTTCCCATCAGCTCTTTGACCTATGTTGGCATTTTGGAAGCATCCATGGCATGTTTTTTCCTGCTAGCTATGTTCTAGCTAGTGCCAACAAAAGCAGCATAGTCCTGAACTGAACATGGCCTTCAGTCTGACATAACCTCTGCTCTACCCAGGATACCTAGGAGTAATTGTCAGGGCTTTGCCTTTCAGAGATTGCTAGCTGAATTTCCAGAAAAGGAGATCCTGCTGCACCTTGTGGAAGCTCATGGCCAGTTGCTCATGGAGAATTCTTCTCCAGAGGAGATTGTCCATATCCAGGCAGAGCTGGATCAGCTGAAGGAGTCATGGAAATCACTGAAGGAGATGGCAACTGGGTAAGTGCTCATGTAGGTCTTCCTTATGTCCCTTCAATGGGGTTCTCTTTACTGCAGTAAAAACAGACACACTTGAGGCTTTATGCTCTGTGCTGTGAACGGCCATACCACAGCACTAGAAGCAAGATTGGATTTTATTTAATTGTTTATAAACTGAAAATAGTTACTTTTAAGAAAATATTTTTAAGACTCTGTGAACCACAATGTCTGTGAATCTTCCTTTACTTCGTGTCGGAGTAGGCAGGGTCTTATGACCTGGCTCACTCTTGTACTGCCAGTCTGTGTCAGAGGAAATTTGGCTTAGACTGGGTGACTTGTGCTGTCCTGTCTCATCTTCCTGTTCTCCTTGGAGATGCCTTCAAGGAAGGTGTATCTGCAATGGGATTCGTGCCTTTTGCAAACCTGCAGAAGTATAAACAGAGCTAAAAATTTTCTCTTTAGCTGGGAAATGAAAACTTAATTTATTTTGCCTCTAGTGTGTAGTGTCAAAATGCTGCTCATATTTGCCAATCTATATTAATGTTTAATGATGTGCTGCATGTATGATTGTATTCATACATACTGTCAGAACAGGCACAAAAATTAAATTACAAAATTGAGGAATTGATTGTACTGCCTTGTGTAACCAGAAAGAAAGCTATATTGCTAAGGTAATATTTTTAGTCCCCTAAATAAAAGAAAACAAACACTTGGAAATTTTAGAACTAGAGTCCTGGTGCAGCTGTGAGACACTCCAGTTGGGAATATCTTCAATAGTAATAGTGTTATTAGTATTAATAATGATATAATAACAATAGTGCTGTTTCTCCAGAGTTGTCTCCCATAGCCCCAGTCAAAATGTGGATGTCCACTGCACTGATATCTCTGGTTTTGTGTTTTCAAGTCTCCTCAAAAAGTGGCAGTTAGACAGACCAGTGGCTGACAAGAAGAAAAGAGCATTTGTGGACAGCAGATGGATGTCTAGACCTGCTTTCCACCTTTTTGATGTCGATCCCAACCATAAGCAGGTGAGATGGGGACTCTGTGTTTGTCATCATACCAGCTTCACAAGAACAGTTTCATTGCCTTCATCTGATATTGTGGGTTACAAAGTTGGAGGTTAAGATTTCCCAATCAGGCCTTCAGAGGAAAAGCCTGACACAACAGTAAGGGCTTTTTTTTCCTGTTGTTCTGTATCCTAGGAGAAAATGGGAGAATGGCAAAGTACAAGCAGCCACTTAAAGCTCCTACATGACTTTGAAGAGTGGCTACGAGGAGAAAACACCAAACTGACCAAAATTCTTGCTGGGACTCCATCTTCTGCAGAGGAAATCAAGGCACACCAGCATAAACTTGAGGTGAGTTTTCAGGGGGTGAATGGAGAAAAATATTGCAGTAAGTGTGAATTCTTTCAGAATAAAAAAAAACCCAAACAACAACAAAACCCAAAACCACTCCACCTACCAACCAAAAACCCACCACTCCCCCAAAAAACCCCAAAAAGTCCTCAAGAACAAATAGACAAAAAATTCAAACACTAGGCTCTCTGCTTTATGAGACTCTACAGTAGATGAAGATCAGGAATTCAGGACCAATTTCATGTTTCTACTAAGAAAGTTCTGCCAGAGTAGAACCAGAGTAGAAGGGAAGGGAGTACCTGGCATTTAGCTGTTGGGTTGGACATTTCCAGTGTGGTATGGCAAAGGTGTTGTTCAAAGAGGGTGATTAAAATCAGTGCCAAATCAGTATTTGGTCTCACTCTTCCTGATGAGTATAGCCAAATGCCATGGCAATTTGTTAGGTTTGTTGGATTGTTAGAAACTAAACACAGAAATATCCAAGGCTACAGGAGTCCTGCAGGTAAATTTAATATCATTGCAGGCCCAAAAGGCAATAACAAAAACAAATGTACTGTTGCATAGCCACTGTTTTTTCAAGTGCTAATTTAAAAAGTGGGGCCTTCCTGAATCCTGAATTGCTGCTGACCCTTGTCTTTGCTTTTAGGAGCTGCAGTCTCGTGTGCCTCATGGTCAGCATCTCTTTGAGGACCTCCTCCATCTTCACCCTGTCTTTGGAAATTCTGAAGACCTGGAGGACCTGCGTTACCGATGGATGCTCTACAAATCTAAGCTGAGAGAGTCCATGAGCTCGCCGGTAGGTGGCAACACACAGCCCAAGCTGCTGAGCTCTGCCATTGCTCTTTCAGGTTTCTTCACATTGCTAGTCTTACTTCAACAGTATGCACGTGTGTCTGCTTAATTAAGAGTTGTGCGCTTTTTCCCTTTGTAAGCTGCGCTCAAAATATTTCTTGAGATGGAAGTTTCAGACCAGAATAATAAAAGGCAAAGAGGAATGCAGCTGGGGACTGAGAGGTGTCTGTGTGTGTGAACATTTTGGATATGTGCCGGGTTCTGGGCACATGGATTTCTATTTTTTGTCCTTTCTCCAGAGAGTTATTTTTTGACAGTTCCTGCAATAAGAATATATTCACTGTTCATTATTTGTGTCTCCTGCTGTGAGACAGAATAGCCACTGACTGAACTGATTCAAAGTAACTGTGCACAGAAGGACCTAAGCCCTTTTGAAACTCTCTATAGCCTAATGATATATAATGAGATAAAGAGGAGGCATTTTAATGCAAAAACCAAATTATTAAAGAAGTTACTGAGTTTTTATATATAAGACATGCTAAGAATGGCAGGATTCATCATCATATGTAAGATATTCCAGGGCATGCTGAAGATATTCCCATGCTCTTAGCATAAACATACATAATTATTGATTAATATTTTTCTAGCTTAACTACTCACATTATCTGAGCAGCTTCAAGATACCATAATCAAAGGATTAGAATTTATAGGTTTGCATTTGATATTTTCTGTATACCAGTTCTTTCAAAGGTATCTGAATTTGAACACCTAAAATTTGAGGCATTTTAAAATTTTCTGCCTTAGAACACTATGTCTTGAAATCCAAAGCCTATTTAGAACATGAATCCTTTAAAATGCATGGAAAGTAAGCATGACTTTTATTAATTAAGAGCATATTTCTGTGTTTGCCCTCAATTGTAATGACTCATGCTGTGTTTACCAAAACCTTCTGTAAGCATTAACATAGTCAGTAGGTGTCAGTAAAGTCAAAGCTATTGCTGGGACAACTGTTCATCTGCTTCAAGTAGTCAAGAACCTAAAACCATGCCACCTTTCTGCCTAATGGTGTTAAAAGGCCCATTAAAAAAAATCTCCTGCTGGTACACTCTGTCCAGGTGACCATGCATTTGAAAGAAACATCCCCTGTGTAGTGAATATTCATTTACAGGCTCCACTGGGATCTTAAATTTATGCTTCTTTTTTTCTTCTCTTCTTTTTTTTTTTCTTTTAAACAGAGTGCTGGACATTTGGAGGAACCAGACAGATTCAGAAAGGCAAGACAGTTTCTTATTATTAAGCTAAAAAAAGTTTGAACAGAATTTTTTGCATAAAATTATTTTAAATTTTTCTAGAGATTTGTGAAACTAATTTGCTTATTAAGAGCCACTCTTAAATGAATTTATTTTTTTCTCCAGATTTTTAAATGGAAAAATATTACAGAGTTTTTACACTTGAACTAGGCTTACTGTATCTCTAGAAGCTAAATATCTATCTCCTGGATGGATATTTAGAAGAGGGAAACTCACTTTTTATATATATCTACATGCTATATGAATTTAATTCATTTTTCAAAAGAGACTAAGGAAGAGCCAGGAGAAAACCCAGAGATTTGTCTAATGCTATTAGATTAAATCCTTATTCTAAGCAGCATAATTCCTCCTGTGATGGATTTTCTTTTTGAAGTGATGACATAAGAAACAGAAGCATTACGGGGGATGATAAGGAGAAGCTAAAAGAAAACAAAACGCTGCCAGTTTCTTATTAAACCAAGCAGCACTTCTGATCCCATTTTCATAAAGTCAGCAAATTTTTCTGTCACAATTTGCTTTTTTTATAGATGCTTCTCTACTTTGTACTGTCATCTCACTTTCCATTTGTTTTTAGAAGGAATAGAATAAGGCTATTTTTCTCAACACAAAGAAGATTGAATGAATAAAGTGTTGCAGGATGATAATCAAATAGTAGGTAAATCAAACCTTTGATTTCTCCTGTTGAAACTCCTCTGTAGAAGAGACCAATATTTAAAGGGTGCAGTACAGTGCATTTCAAGCATCGCCAGAAATCAAGACTTTCCTCATTCTGATGAGATATTCCTCTAATACTCAAATGTGGAGTAGCAGCTACAATACTTTTACCCAACAGAGTACTGACCAATTTTAAGGCAGTTTTCACACTTTCCTCAATAGTTTTGGCTGCAGTTCAGCCTTCCTGAAGACCCCCAAAGACTTTCTGTTCTTGCCTGTCTGGCTCAGCATTAATTATTTCATCCAGTAAGGTCACCAGAATTTTTCAGGCTGGAAAAACAGTATGACATTTTGATACTTGGTGTAGAGGCAGCCAAACATTTAGTAGTGCTTCTTTTCTCTAGAAGAGGCTCACAGGGATCTTCCAGAAGACTGACCAAGGAATTCTCTGATTTCATGTTGTCACGTTGTTTGTAGGGGAAAACAAAACAAAAGCTTTAGGCATAAGCATGTCTCCTCTACAGTTAGATGCCATTTTTAATTCATGTGCCTCACCTGCCTTGGGGTACATGGTATTTATTCACCCTTAAATTCTCTGGATTAGACTAAAGGCTTCACATAATGGCAGGCAGCAAACATTTGTCAATTAGGCCTACAGCAAGAGCACAAAAAAAAAACCCCACTCTGTGAGTTTTTAATAGCTACTGAACACAAAGAGAAACAGCTCAGGGTGGAAAGGACTGAAGAACTGAAATACCTCATAAGCATGAGGGAAATGGCTCCCATTGCACTAACAATTGATTTGCAGTTTCCCTTCAGCCAGTACAGATGTTGCTGTAACTTACACCCTGCTCACTTCAGTGAGATTTCCCTGACCTCAGGGCTTTCATTCTCCATTTAAACAGTATCACTACAACAAGAATCCAACTGCTGCAAGCAGAAGTGTCTTTTTTTTTTTTTTTCATTAATTCCATTATTACCTTAATTTCATTAAGGTTTTATCAGGATGTGAGATGGTGTTGCCATAAGATTTTTGAGCACCACTTAAGAGAGACAGAAAATAATGTTGATCCCTTTTGGGTGTATCACTGTTTGGCCTAAGAAGAAAACCAGGCCAACTGCAGAATTCTAGGCTATGCAGTTTACTTTAAATTCAGATTTTACACCTAAAATGTGGCTAGAAAAAAAGATTAAGAACAATATTTTTGCATGCATGAATATCTTTTCAAACCTATGGTAAAGGAAGCCAACTACCTTGAAGGGAATGGCTGATCTCAGGAGTTGGTGTCTGCAGGAGGTGCAGATGGCTGTGCTTGCCACAACCAGTGAGTTTGCATAAAATAGGATCAGGTTATCTCTAATTTGTCAGCCCCCTCATGCTCTTAAGTCACACAAAATCAGCAAAAGTGGCAGAAGTTGAGGTATTTTTGGACTGATCTCTGCTTTTTGCAGCAGTAACTCTTTCTGAATCAGCAGTGAATATTTTGCAGCAGCAGTAGATGAACATGGAGATGGGGAAGACCCAGCTGTAACCATTGTCATTTGATTGCCTTCTGATTTTATTCCATTTCTAGCCTACATGGCCAAATGTTGGATATATACAAGGAGCCTGCTCCATGTATAGTAATGTGCTTTTTTTCCTGATCATTCATCCATTGCCGAGGACATGCCCCTGCCACTGGTGCCCTTAGGAGCAGAACAGCCTAATGATTGTGATGTGAGTGACTTCTTGTTGATTAACAAAAAACAGTTGCAGGAAATTGCACTGGCTGCAGTGAATTTTTAGCAGGTGCCAGTGACAGCCAATGTAGATGGATATTTCTGCAAGGTACCTAGCACACTCAAGAACGTAATCAAGCAAGTGCTCAATAATAACCATGATAAATGTTAGTTTGGCTCCCAGCTACCTAAAAATATTCCATGAGCATTCTTAGCATAAATAGGAAGTCAAATGCTCATTATTTACTAGGTCTAGGTAGTGCTGTTTGATTTATTTTCTCAAGTGCTCAGAGTAATTACACTTCCTTGCTAAACAAACAATCTGGCTTTATTGTTTGTACAAACAAAATAATTAGAATTCATTACATCAGTGGTCAGCTAATTGCTTCCTTTGAGATTCTGCTAAGAGTAATCTCCTGTAACATATAGACAGAAGGAACATGTAATTTAATCTTCTTTGGAGACACCATTGATCTGGAGTCAATCAAATTAATGCAGTCATTCAGGAAACTGCAGAGCAAGAGCTGCCACAGCTTGCCAGGAAGAAAACAGTTCTGTGGTCTGCTCTGCCCAAGTGCAGATATGATGGAGGTTCCTCATGGCATAAAAGTACAGCATTCTGTGTTAGTGCCTGTGGCAGTGCTGCCTCACAAGTCCTGCTAGGTAATCCCACTCGAAATCTTCTGTACAAATTCTTAGTAAAATGTAAAACACTTTTTAAAAGGTATATTTTCTTCAGTTTTTAATACCTCTTTTATAGATAAAGATCTCTCCATTTTTGTTGGGTTTTTTTTCATTACTCTGCCTTTTTGCCTGTGCTTACCTGTTTTAGGAATTTTACCATGACCCAAACACAGGCTGAAGGGCATCTTAGCATTAAAAATTAGCAGATAGACTTTTCTCCTTACAGTGACGTTTGCTCAGAAAGGAAACTTAGTCAAAAAAACCCCCAAAAACCCCACCTCCAGAAAAATCCTGACTGCCCATTTCTAACTCAGACCCACTGTTAAGTATGCTGAACCAGGCAGCAGCACCCCCTTTCTTTTCCAGCAGGCTCACAGGCTTCCCTTCACATTACCTCACCTATGAGACTCTGCCTGTGTGCTCTTATTTCTGTAGGTTTCCTGCCGTTTTCCAATCTACATTTCAGTGTCCTCAGATGTCAGATATCTGGGGCTCATTGTGGTTTATGTGATCCTGCCTCCCAGGATGGTTCTCGTGTGGTGTTAGTTAGGCATGTGGTTGGTGCTCCTTGCTTCATGTGAAACGATGTGTCCTTTAGCTGCCTGCCACGTTGTGAAGTACTTGCAGATTTTCACCAAGGAGATAGCTTAGAATGATTTTTTCAGCAGATATAATTTTATGTCCTAACTGAAAGGTAAAGAGAGAGATTTGTTTAACAATAGCAGAATGCAACCAATTTTCAGTATATACCTGAAAATACGTTTTTAACACAACTGTAAAAGGTACTGCAAGAAAAACTCTTTTAATCATTACCTCTAATTTTTATACTTATTATTTATTTAAAAGTAAGAAATCGCATTTTAAAGTATTTCAATAAAATGCAAATATATTCAAATTATGTATAGTGACTGTAGAATTTTAAGAAAAGTTTGATCTTTCCTTGAGAGAAGTCACTGGCAAAGCAGCTGGAAACATACATTATTGACACAATAAACCAGCTTTTGATGTCAGTAACATCTACAAGTTCCAGAACATTTTGTCTTTCTTTCAGTTTTTATTCTTTCTCTGCTTATTTTAATTAGTTTATTTCAACTTGCAAGGATGAGTGGAAGTTGGAAATTGGGAAAAGTTGTTTTACTTGCCTGCCTGCCTGAATATAGAAGACTGAGATCTTTTTCTGCTTGCTTAGGTCTGGAGAATTATAGAAATCAGTGCTGCTTTTACAGATCAGGCTGTAGCTCTTGTCCTGTGATATGTTTCTCCTGGAAAGATGACATGCTGTATATGCACACAGAAGTTAACCTTTATAAATTAGTTTGTGTCACAGTAGCAGATGGCACAGTGCTTAGTTATAAGTGACTTTGAGGCAGAAATTCTGAAATATCCACCATATGTGGCTGCTGAAACCTCAGATACAAACTGCTGGCTCTTCCTTGTTTTCTGTTTCTTTTAAATTAAGCCTTCATCAAAGATTCTGGATTGTCCCTCAGCCATGTTGAGGAGGTACTCCAGAATCTTCAATAAGGAAGAAAACAGTCCTTAATTTGCCTGTATACCTACCTATTTACATGCATGTGCTTATGCACTTCAGAATTGAAAGGAGCATTAAGGTTGCAAAGTCAAGCAACCTGAAGATGGAAAACAACAGAGTTAAAATTGCTTGTATGGCTGCAGTTAACCTCTCTTCAGCATTCTGGTTCATTCTGGTAGTTCTTTATGCAAAGCAGAATGATAAGCACAGAAATCAGTGGGGTACCCGGTCCCCTTACTCATTCCTCACTGCTGGTTGCCTCACTGCCTACCCTGGGCAGTGTTTGCTTTTAGGAAAGTACAGACCTGAACTCAGTGTCTCACTGTCCTTTTGCAGAGGCCACAGAACCTCTAATCAACAGAGACTGATCTTAGTT